ATATATATATATATACATACATATATATACATATATATACATACATATATATACATATATATACATATACATACATATATACATATACATATATACATATACATATATACATATACACATATACATACATATACACATATACATACATATATACATATACATACATATATACATATACATACATATATACATATATACATATACATACATATATACATATACATACATATATACATATACATACATATACACATATACATACATATACACATATATACATACATATATACATACATACATACATATACACATATATACATACACACACACATATATACATACATACATACATATACACATATATACATACACACACACATATATACACACATATACATATATATAAAATAATATAACATGTTTATTTAATGAGATGCCCCTATGGACCTTGTTATAGGAGGTAAAGATCAGGAGAGGTAAACATGAAGTGTAATTATGAATACTGATGTTAAATTAAGCTATGATGAGTTTTCACTGTTAATTTACCATCTCAATTAAATGTTGATGCCTCCATGACCAAGTTAAGCAGATGAGACTGAGGACAACTATGTAGAAGAGAAGATGTTCACTTTGCCTAATATGTAGCTTGACAGAGCTCTCCATGTGTGCCCTTTTCTCCATGGCCCCAGTGCTGCTGAGACATGCAGACAGGCGGAGAGGACGTGCAGGAAAAGCATATATTTTGCGCAGATATCATATTTTACAAATATTACTGGGTACATTCCATATTTCAAAAACACAAATTTTGTGGCTCAAGGAGGGGCGCTCAAGGTAGAGCCGCGCGCCCCTCTATTGGCCAGCCGCAACTGCTCTAAACCGTCTGACCTCTTCATCCCTTTTCTGTTCTCTTTTCCTCTTTCAGTTTTCAATTTCATGGGCCTCTGTCCTACTGAACTCTGACCTTTGTCCCCTCCCCCCATGTGAGTATAGCAGCCTGTCTACACACACACACACGCACACAAAAACAAGCAGGGAGAAGGCAGATAGACACTCTTTGCACATTAAGTCATCAATACTTGACTGGGGCATTAAGCTGCACATTATCTACACACTGTACACAAGTAAATACACACATGTACATCAGTCACACACACTCCACGCTGTACTCTCTGGCCTGGCTGACAGAGCGGTATAGATTGTCCAGCATTGATTTGCTCTACATTTGTTACAGATAACAGCTGCTGTGCTGATCCACTGTCAAAACACGATCGCAGGCCGTGAAAATGTGCAGTTTTAACATAAATTTTTTGGGCTACTACACCAAAGCATTCACAAAACACTCTCACCATCTTACCAACACGCTTGTTTCTGATGATCTAGGACTTTGATTATGTTTGGCTTCCTGCCCAAACAGCCCAAAATCTGAGAAACCTCCCATCATGTGGCGTAAATTAGAAGACATAGCGCCTGTGGTTATTTTCTCAGCATGCTTCCAGTAGCAAGGTCATATATGTTTTGATGTCGAGGTTCAGATGAAAACCCAGTACATCAGCTTTGCCACAGTTTAAAAAAAACACGGTGAGAAATTCACATTGACAACCAGGCATTTTTTTTACGACATGGTGTGAACGCTAAACTTTCAAGCTGAAAATCAGTTCCCACATGGCATCAACTCTGATGAGAGGGAAAACGTGTATTTGCTAAAGCCAAACCAGTAAAGAGAGAGCTTGTCTTTGAAATCAAATTAGAAGAGCAGATAGACGGACAAGAAGAAGAACAGAGATCAACTGCACTGGCAGTAAATGGAAAAGATGTTTCAAAGCTGAAATTCAGTTTGTCCTAGAAAGTAGCTTGTGACCAGTTTTGTGCTCATTTTTCAACCTGGGTCTTATTCTCACAAATGTGACCACTGTGATTATGAGTCTTTGGCTATACGCAAAACAACAAACAACAAACAAACAAATACCCCCAAAACAACGTATACTGGGGCAAGCAGTGCGAAACATTTCCATTTCAGGTTTAAGCAAATCATTTGAGCCCAACCAAAATTAAACAAAGAAAGTAACCCCCTGGATTAGCTACTATAGCTAAAAGTGATTTATGAAAACTTGAAGATTTGGAGAATTATCAAATTTTTACATGGTAAGTGCAATATTGACGTGGTTAGAAGTTAGCGTTACCCACGGTCAGATTGCCCACAACTATGAATATAAGACCCAGGTTAGTATATAATAGTGGTACTTTCCTTTAACTCAATTCAATTTCCTCATGTATGAAAGTTCTATAAAAGGTCGACAATGACTCAACTTTTGATGCCTCTTTTGTGCCTCTGCTCTTTGTGGTTTCTTCAGACAAATGTATGATTGAACGGTAAAGCTGAGTGTCCCTGTGACAACAGAGGGCGTAACAGACCTGCTGACTGTCCCCCTAACTGAAAAAGTTGAAGTTAGGAACTGGAGCAAAAGTGCAGTATTTCTATTTTAAAAAGCAGTGCATGGGTCACTGAGTGGGAGGTTGCCTTTTCTACAGACTTCCTACACACACATGTGCACAAATGAACACAGACAGGAATAGAGAAATTCTATTAAAAAAAAAAAATCAGAACCAAAACAAAGGTTAAAGCTAGTGAAGGTAATGTATTTTAGAAACATTTCTTGTTATATTTGTTCAAATGAACACCAAAGCGCGGATTCCACATTAATGTTTGTGCTCATCTCTCCTTTGACAACCAAAGCCTCTTCCTGATCCAGTTATTATTTATTGTACTTGCGACAGCACTTCCTGCCTCGTACATAATGAATGCTTCATACCTCAGTCATACAGGTCTGCAGGACTCCTTCTGTCACACCTGGAGGGGATGCGACTTCCTTCCTCGATGAACCTTTAGCACGTATTTTGATCCTAAACAATCTTTGTGGCGATTTTTGTTTCTCCTCATCATCATCATCATAAAACACCCGTACCCTAACAAATGTGGAATCACACCAGGTCATTTTCATAGATACTCAGGGGGAATGTTGCTGGACAGAACAAATGGAAAAGGAACGATGGAGAGGAAGACATAATCGGTTATTGCAGAGGGAAGACAGGAGCAAGTGACTGCTGGCTGGCTGACATCGTCACCGGTGGGTGGGGGGTGGATATTGCTATGGAAACGGCCCAAAGTTCAGGCCATGACAAACACGGGTGAGTGTTTGGATGACAGAGAGTGAGAGCCTGACAATTACAATCTCCAGACAGCACCAATCATTTGGAAGTTATTATTGTTTGTTTTTTCGGTTTAAGAAAATATTAGTGTATGAAAACGGGGAAGTAATGTCAATGCAATAAAGGTATGGATCAGATATAGCAACATAACCATCTTAAGGAGACGTGCGAGTGTATGGAGAATGAATATAATGTAATAATATGAAGAAAAAACACGTTTAACAATGTAGTCTCTTTCAACGGTTCGTATGTATCTTAGGAAAAAGTTCTTTTACTTTTCTTGCGTTTTCCTATTCAAGTCCAGCAACACAAAATTATTTGGTTAGGTTTAGGCAACATAACTACACTGTAAAACCTTTCACTGTAAAATTACAGTATTTTACTGGCAGCAGTTTCACCTGTAAGATACTGTAAAATTTACATTATCTCTACAGTGCAATTTACAGCATTAATACTGTATTGGGGAAATACAGTAAATCAAAATGTAAATTAAATTGCTAAATTAATTCCAAACATTTCAGTATCGGCTCTTTACCCCAAAATATTTAGGAAACTGTAGTGGAAGCATCTGTAAAATTAACAAGCATGAAAAATAACAATTTACAACAATAAACAAGACAATAAGATATATTCATAATGGTCTTGTTTATTAGAATAGTCAAAGTTTGAGCAAAAGTAGCATCCAAATAACAGATATTCAAGCCTTTACAAATCAAAATGGTATGGATAAGTTGCATGTGTGAGAGTGTATTTTTCGAAGTGAGTGTTTGGTTATCCGAGTGAGCTGAAAACATTTGTACTTAACGAACTGAGTAAATACAGTTACTAATCTGTTTCAAAAGAAAAGAGCCTCCCCATTACGCTAGGGGGTTTTACTTGACAAAACAATACTGACTATTGAAAAATACTGTGTGCTAGCCCAAAATACAAAATAGCTATTGCACATAAAAATACTGCTATGAATAAACTTGTGTGTGGTTATCCGAGTGAGTGACAGGCTGAAACATTTGTACTTTACGGACTGGGTAAATACTTCTTTGTTTCAAAAGGAAAGAGCCCCCCCATTACGCTAGGGGGTTTTACTTTACAGATCCATGCTGTTGAACAATATTGTGTGCTAACCCAATAGCCAACTTCAATATTAAACAGAAATAATGCCCGTTTGGACATTGTAAAGAGAATTAAATAAAAATAAATACAAAAATAGCCCATACAAATAGCAATGTGAATGAGTGAGACATAGCGGGGTGGTCAGTGAGTAAGTGAGTGAGATATGAAGGATTTGTGTGTGTGTGTACTCATTTGAACTTTATGGACAGAGTCAGGGTAGTGATAAACTCATACAAAGTCCCACTCAAAATCCATGAGCTTCCTCAAGAGGGTGCACACATGCGGATTCAGGGATGTCACTTTCTTTTGGACCAGTCTCCCGCTCTTCTTGCTGGTCACCTTTCCCTGATGTGCCTTTGTCCCTCTCTCTGGGTTGATTCCAACACAGCTTCTGGCAAGAATGGCAAGGTAAAACAAAAATAAATAAACGTGAGTCAAACTACTTCTAAACTATTGTTAATAGCCACCACATATTGTTGGCATAATCGTTCTTTTTCCTACTTTATGTTTACAATGCATATTACAGTAGATATATGGGGAAAATTGAGCTATATTTATTGCTAATACCACTTACTTTCCTTATGTTTTGTCACATCTTTGGAATGTGCAAATAACATTCAGGGTTTTTTGATAACTTTACAATTCTTCTACATAAGTACACATTTATTACAGTCGCGGTGTTTCGCCATGTGGTTGTTTTCAGTACTGCCGTTACATTATTTGGCCACTACAGGGCTATGTGGACCACAGAATAGTTTATTCTAGCTAGCAATTAATCAAGTGTATTTCTAGTGATTGTAACCTAAAATCAGTGATTCTCAAAGTGGGGTCCGCAAAATAATTTACTAATAATTATAAAATAGTGGTGAAGAGTTAAAAAGGTGCATATCTATAGATGGGAACCAAAGCCATATGCCAGCCAGGCTTAAGCAAAATATAATTACAAAGCACCCCTGATTCAATACGAGATTGTGTTGTTTATCACTATGAAACGGATCTGAAGCATTTAGATTGAAAAGCATTAGAATACAAATAGTTCCAATGGCATCTAAGAGTACAAATGCTAGTAAGCATAAGCTTAACCGGTGTTACCATAATGAGGGGGTCTTTCGCTATTTTTCTCCCCTGCAAGGGGTCTCTAGCCCCAAAAAATCTGATAACTGCTGAAGTTGAATGTGTGTTTCTTCTGTTTATTTTAGAACCACATATATACACACCCAAGCGAAGATAAATTTCCTTCTGGAATGAACTTTCTGTGCTCCGTTCTCCGATCGAAGTACCTATCCTTTAAAGAGCTTTTAAGCTAGCATCCTAAAGATACTATATCTTTCACACAAAGATAAATGCAAGGAGAGCTGTAAGGTCGGAACACCTGAAACTAATGACTCGATATGGTATTCAAACTTACCGCTGTATGAATTCAAGTGTGCAGGCAGCCTGATCCTGATATTGGAGGTTGAAGTTGTAGTAGCATGTGAAGACAACAGCAAGCCCCAACACAAACGATGCTCCTTCGCACACCACGTGGCCCTCAATGCTAACCATCCAACGCTGATCAGGAATAATTGGACCTTAAACAAAATGCAAACAGAGTTAGGCTGAATGTCAAATTAACCATTTGACGTATTATAAAGTGGCAACTTACTGCTATATTGTTTTTGTATTGTACTGACATTTCCAACTGATATTTGAAAAGATTTCAAAACAGTGTAAGCTTTTGATAGATATCAGGATGGTTAATGCTGTGTGGCCTTTTGATGTATCCAGGTTTTAGCAGTGTCGTCAACTCTTTATTGCACATAGTCTTGCATAAAACGTAGTGACTGTCTCTTAATAGAGACATCTTTAGCCAAATAATCACAAAATCACTACAGGACATACACTTGGAAAATCTACAAAGGGACGGAGAAGATCAGACGAACTATTTACATTTTTACAAGCTATAAGGACACCTTAATCAGTGGAGAAAAATAGAGAGAGAAACAAACTACTGACATACCAGAGAAAATATTATTCTATAACCTACTGAGTCTGTATTGTAGAGACTCAACTGTTTAATAACTATCTAAAACTATGTATTCATGTATCCATTTATTCATGCTAAGCTATTTATTAATTAGTATCCATTTACAAAAATGTAAAGGTGTGTGTATTATATACAGTATATAAGAAAAAAACTCACTACAACTGAACTCGCTATAGCTGCAGGGCTTAGTGCTTACCTAGGATGATCAACCGAGGGCTTTCAGGAAGGGCAAGGGATGTCTTCACAGTTGCCGCTGTGTCTGACAC